GATCTCACCAAGTTGCCCAGGCATGTCGCAAGCCTGCAGGCTTAGGCAATCCACTCACCTCAGCCTCCCAAGGCGTGGGATTACAGGCTGAGCCACCGAGCCTGGCTTAACATTGATTATGCAGTTACCCTTGTTGATGAGGTATGCTCTGTCTCCCCTAGCAGTTTTCCTCAACTGCCAATCCCACCTCTCTCCTCTGACAGTTTCCCATTACTGCCAATAACTTTCTTATAGTATTTTAATTGTTCAAGTTCTTATGAGTGAGAACATATGGTACTCTGTTATTTGTTTCTGTGATAGATCACTGAGTATGATCGACTCCAAATCCATCCAAGTTGCTGCAAAGTCCATATGTTTGTCTTTCTTTATGGCTGCATAATATTCCATTGTGTATATGTACCACATTTTTTAAATCTAGTCCAGCTTCAGTGGGCAACATGGTTGGTTCCATGTTTTTACTATTGTGAATCAAGCTGCAACAAATGTGTGCAGGTATCTTTTTTGTAGAATGATGAGTTCCTCTGGGTATATTCACAATATGGAAGATCAATTTCTAGTCATATGGAAGATAAATTTCTAGTTAACACAAATAAGTAGCACACAGAACAGGAAGACATGAGAATTAGATGATGTCTCAGTATGCTTTCAGAGAATGGAAAACAAAACTCTAACTGGAAAAATCAAGAAGGGTGCTTGGAGAATATGATTTTGAAGGAAAAACAGGACTCTAACAAGCCAAAAGGGGAGGTTATGATCTTAGAGGGAACAGAAAGAGAAATTAGAAATCCCTCTCCAGAAAGAGTGTGAATAGCTTTGAACACAAAAATATTTGACATTATTTAGTTCACTGTGAGGAGCCTTTCATTTCACTTCATTTTATTTTTGATGAGTAGAAAGGACATGATGAGGTGATGACAGAGTCTCATGGCCCCTCTTCTGTTGCATTTTCATTTAACTCTTCTTTACTGACACCACCAGAGTTTGTGGAAGGAAAAATGAGGAGTTTGTGACCATTCCAGAAAATGATCCAGAGCACTTTTGTGGGATGAAAGTTAATCAGTACAATTTATGGAGCTTACTATTACAAAATTGTTATTTTTGTTATTTATTCATTTATAATTTATTACTATATACGTAAAAATGGCTTAAAAGATGGTGTCTTGGAAAACTTAACAATTTCAAGAAATGAGCTAAAAAAAGTTTAAGTTTCTGTTTGTGAAGTCTGAGTGAAAAACCGACACTCAAGTTTTAATATTATGGTAACTAACAAAACAATATAAATAAGAAAGCCAAAGGAAATAATCTAAAGTCATCTCTGTTTAGGACATTGGCTCTCAGCCTTTAAGAAGTTGCTTCCTTTTGAGTATGTGATGAAGATGCCAAAATTTCTCACCAGAAAAATACCCATAGGCATATATTTATAAAATTTGATCTAAAACTTCAGGGTTTTCCTGACCTTCTGAAACATATCCATGGCCTTTCTAGGCATTCATGGTCCTTAGGTTATAAAACCTTGACAAAGACTACAGAATATAAGACTTGCAGTCTTACTTCAGAGACCGAAGGATTACCAGAAGTGCCCAGAATACCTCTCAGGGCAGTTTAGAAGCTGAAATCCCTGTGCTCTTTATAAATACTTGGCATAATTTGAATGAATATGAAGTAGAAAAAGACTTAGTTATCATTTACTACTAAAGTTTTAAGCATTTAAATTACTTTTTATTTGATGAAGAATTGTTGTATGTCTTAAATGCAATGGGATACATAAACAGAGTCATGAACTTAAATTGAAAAGACTAACTTATTTCAAGCTGTTTAAACTTGGACTAGTAATTTAACCTCTCTGAGCTTCAGTTTTATATTTTTTTAGATAATAGAGTATGGAATTGCATTATGTTTGAAGCCCTCTATATGTTCTAAAATTCTGTAACGTAAATGAACTCATCTAAATCTAAAAAATTAATACAATAAATAACTTCTAAAAATGAGAATAGCTACAATTATTCCCAGAGTAACATATTTTCAGGAAGTGATTCAAAGCTAGATGTGGTTGAATTGCTAAATGGCTGAATATGCAAAAGTGGGCGATAATTAAGTTGTTACGCTCAACCCATATTAAATATTAATGAATTTTCCATGACTTTGAATCGGAAGAGTTTTCTACAGGAGAGGTTCTGACGGGGCTGTGGGAACGATGGATCATCTTCCCCTCAGAGGTGGTCTTCCTAGCTCCAAGGCACTCCTAGGCACTACCAGGAAATGTATCTGTGTTTGACTATGTTATACTTGGCTTTTAACTATTTTTTTAAAAAGTATTTTCAATACTGATATCATCATGCCTTAGTCTGCAGGAGCAAAAGAGCTTGACATTAAAAAAATAATGCACTCAGCCAAGTCTCCGGTCATCTGAATGCACTCACCATTAGTGTGGCTTTAAATCTGGCTGCACATATGCTTGGGCCAAGAATCAGAGACGCATCTGGGAAGCAGAAGCTGGTCCATTTTGTCCCCTCCACCCCCTTTTGTTGTTAGATTTTGTAACAAATGTTAGGCAGCAAAGAGACAAACAAGGATAAAATGACTCTCTCCTTTTCCATCTGGTTCTCCACCAGAGACATGAAACCCACCAAAGCATCAGATTTCAATGTTCTAACTGCCGAGGAACCCCCCTTTCTTGTTCTCTCTTGTCCACCCTTCTCAACAAACATTTATTCACTAAGTACAAAGCAGTGTAGTCCAATAAAATATAGAGTTATTTATACACACTGATTTGCCAACTCCTGGTCATTAGTACTGTGTTTGTGGGATAATACCTTTTGTGCCTTATTTCACAGGAATGTAGTCTAATATAAAAGCTATATATGAACATTCATTTAAACATCTGAAATTAACAATATGGAGAGGTTTTTGGTGTACAAATTAGTTCTGTTCTGTGAGTTAATCGAAAGTTCTGCTGCTTGGAGCTAGGAATATATTTCTTATGGAAATAACTTTAAACATCACAGATAGGAAGCAAGTTAGAAAAAACAAAGAAGAGGGAGAGGAAGGAAGATGAGGGAGTGAAGGAGAGAGAAATGGAGAGTTAAATTAATATACAACACACATTGCACTTTCTTTTGCACAACATATAACACACATTGCACTTTCTTTTGCACACAAATATTTCTGTCCATCCTTTAGTGGAATCCCTTGGAAACTGGGCAGCAAGGAGAAAGGGTAGGACTGTCTCTTTCAGGTGCGTAAATATTGTGCCAAAGAGGGAGATGATAATTGCCCCTGACCTGGGGAGGGATGCCCTGTGGGTATGTGGCAACAGTGTCACAGTTTCCATTTCAAGAAGGTACAGGCTGCCACAAGTTGAAGAATGGTGTGGCCATCCCAGTTGTTCATGTTTATAGATCAATTGTCAATTGAATGTATTAATGCCAGAGATTGCCAAAGAATAATCAAACCCTGCTAGAGAAAGAGCTTTGATTTGGAAACATGTTTGGGACTTTGGTGATCTATAAATATTTTCAACAGGCTTAGTGAGCATTTCTGTACATTATTAGCAATTTGCTCTGTTTAAATTTTTATCTTGACATTTTTCAAGCATCCAGAAAAGTAGAGAGAATAACAGAATGAATTCACATATCTCCGTAAGTTTCATTCAGAAATGAAGATTTTTGATTCGTTTGCTTCAGCTATCCTTTTCACATTTTATTTTTCATTGCCCAATGTTTTGTAGCAAATCTTAGATCTCGTCATGTACACTTGTTACACAACTCTAAAAAAATTCACCTTTTGAACAATGACATCATTATAACTCCCAATAAAGATAGCATTTTTTTCTATCCAATAACCTGTTTATAATAATTTTTTCCTTCATTACCTATACATTTTTTTGTGTGTTTAGTATGCTCAAGTAGTATGCTCACATTCACGCAATAAATGTGACCAAGTACCTTAAATCTCTTTTATCTTAAGCATGCAGTTTTTCTGCCATATCCCTGACTTGTTACAAAATTAAAGTCAATGTTATAATTGCTAGTAACAATTTTTCCTCTTAAGCATCATTTAACTCATTTCTTTATTCCTCGTGTCTCCTTTAAATGGAAGTTAATCCTAGAGGTGAGTCATGTTTTAAAGTACCATGACAATATATTAATTTTGTTATTGGTTAGCTCTAAGAAATCGATTTAGATTGTGATGAAAGGAAAGTAAAACATTCTGTTATCATCTGTGGTAGATGAATAACAATGATAAAGATGAATATTAATGATAAGGAATGAATAATGTAATTGAGATTAAAAATTTTCCAAATTCCAAATTGCCCAATATTATTCATATAATATACCAAATGTCTTAGACTTGAGCTACTATATATATATATTTTTTTTTAATGACATCTGCCTGGTTTCTATTGTCCTTAAGAATTTTCAGACTTATTGGGAATTCTTACTGAGTAATGTTGAAAGAAACCATGAGGGAGTTATGAACCAGATTTTGAAGTAATGTTAATTGTAACAAAAAAGTCCCTTCACATATTTGACTTTGAATTGTTCCTCTAAGATGAAATTGTAGATGGTGTGTCTAAGAGATGATTTAGGATTCTATTTTAATAAGCAGGATCACACTAATGCAAGAGAGAACCGCTGCAATAGTAAGTTGTTGGAGCATGACTGGTGACACCAGCTCCAGAGAACTTATACAACATAGTGTTTTTCCTCTCCTAGCTATTCTCTGCTAACATACATAGTCAAAGTCATAGATGAAAGACCGAAGACATAACACAACATGAAACCTGAGAAAAGTATGCCTTGGTATATAAATACAGTAACATTTGTAATCTTTAGAACAACATTATTACATACATACTGTCATTATTTCCATTTTAAAGACGTGGAATCTGAGTTATATATCTGTCTACTGTTGATAAACATTTGAATTATTTATCTTTTATCTATCACAAATAATGTGCCAAATATTATGTGTAAATATATTCATTTTGTTTTAAACAGGTCATCAATAATCTTGGTATTTTGGAACTGATTCTTAATACTCCTAGCCATCATAGGGTTCATCATGGTAAGGAAGTGCTACCTCTTCTTTCTTTTCTTCTTCATTTCTTTAAAAATTATATTATTATTTTGCCTCACTTTATTTCATCACAATTACCCAATATAGTCAATGCACATTGTACAAATAAATATATATTTTTTCTTTCCTGCCTTCTTTTGTACAAGACTCATCTCCAAAGTGTGGACTGGTGAGAAATGGAGTATTTGTTTATCTGGCTTCTTGATTTTGTTTATTTACTTATTTTTTTTACCTAGATCTCAGCTCAGTTGTAGTGGAAAAATGAGTTAACCAGTTGAGGTGATATTCTTTTTAAGTTTTAAAGGAGTCTGTTGGAAGCTACTCCTTGACCCAGTGCTGGGGTGTCATTCCTGTCTACAGCCAGAGAGTCATTGGTCTTGAAGACTGTTGGGATTTAAGGAGAACCTAATAAACAACATTTCGTTTTCCTGCCTAAGTTCTATGAACAAACTCAACATATGCTGTGTTTGCCTGACAAGGAGAAAATCCCAGTGGCTAGTGTCTAAGGCCTAAAGATAACAACTTAAGTAATAACACAAATGTTTGCATTGTACACTATAAGACCACTACAACAATATGCATATCAGCATTATTTGTGATAGGAAATAAAAAGAGAGAACTAATTTAAATGCTTATCAGTCACAGAACAGATTTTTTTTTTTTTAATTTTAAAAGATGTGGGGTTAGGTATATAAATGTTCATTATGTAGGAACCCTTGTTGATGAGGTGTGCCCCTGTCTCCCCTGGCAGTTTCCCACTACTGCCAATCCCTTTCTTACAGTGTTATAATAACTGTTTAAGGTCCACTTATTAGTGAGAACATATGGTACTCTATTCATTGTTTCTGTGATAGATCACTAAGTATGATAGATTCTAAATTCATCCAAGTTGCTTCAAAGTCCATATGTTTGTCCTTCTTTATGGTGCATAATATTCCATTGTGTATATGTACCACATTTTTTTTTTATCCAGTCCAGCTTCGATAGGCAGCATGGTTAGTTCCATGTTTTTGTTATTGTGAATAGAGCTGAAACAAGCCTACATGTGCAGGTATCTTTTTTGTAGAATGATTTGAGTTCCACAGAACAGATCAATTGTAGATCATTCTAAAATAAAGAATCATATAGCAATGGAAATGTCCAAACCATTGCTACATGCAATGGCATGAATAAATCTCACAAGCATAATGTTGAGAGAAATCGGTTTTTTTGTTTAAAAAGAATAAATGCTATTGTTCTGTTTTTGGGGGGTTTTTTTGAGTTGGAATTTCACTCTGTCGCCCAGACTGGAGTGAAGTGGCATGCTCCCGGCCACCGCAGCCTCAACCTGCTGGACTCCGGTGATCCTTCCACCTCAGCCTTCCAGGTAACTGGAACTACAGGCATGTGCTACCATGCCCGGCTAGTTTTTTTTTGACTTATTGTAGAGACGAGGGCTCACCAAGTTGCCCAGGCGGGTCTTGAACCCGTGGACTCAGCAATCCACTCGCCTAGGCCTCCCAAAGTACTGGGATTACAGGCTGAGCCACCAGGCCCGGCCTTGTTCTGTTTTTATGTTTCCAGGTTTCATAGGCAGTACTGAAGCCTTCAAGTTCTGCTTTCCCAAGGGGCAGGTCCCTCTCCTTACAGCAGGGAGCAGAACAGAGAAGTGTAGGCTTATACAGGAGGAGAAGATACATCAGGCTGTACATGCTCAGTTTTCTCTTCCAAACTTAAGGGTCATTCTTCCATGTTCAGGGACTACAAAAGGTCCCTGACTTAGGATGTTTCGACTTACAATTTTCCTGCTTTATTTTTTTTTAATTTTTGAGTTGGAGTCTCACTCTGTCGCCCAGACCAGAGTGCATGGCACGCTCCTGGCCACCGCAGCCTCAACCTGCTGAGCTCCGGCAATCCTTCTGCCTCAGCCTTCTAAGTAGCCGGAACTACAGGCATGTGCTACCACGCCCAGCTAATTTTTGATTTATTGTAGAGACGAGGTCTTGCCAAATTGCCCAGGGATTATAGGCTGAGCCACCGAGCCCGGCCAATTTTTCTACTTTAATGATGATGGGAAGGTGATAATCAGTAGAACCTCAGTCTGAGTACCTCTATGATCATTCTGTTTTTCACTTTCAGTACATTATTCAGTACATTATATGAAATAGTCAACACTTTAGTATAAAATAGGCTGTGTGTTAGATATTTTTTGCCCAGCTGTAGGCTAATGTAAGTGTTCTGAGCAAGTTTAAGGTAGGGTGGGCTAAGCTGTAATGTTTAGTAGGTTAGGTGTATTAAATGCATTTTTGACTTTTGCTATTTTCAACTCATGATGGGTTTATTGTTAAAATTCATTACATAGTCGTGTTGCCATTTGCTGAGGTTTGGGCTTCTGTATGCCTGCCTCTCCCTGGGTGGTAAGCATGGTACCTGCTGGGTGGTTTTGCAGCCCTTATTCCCAGTCCCTCCCTGCGCCTTTTAGTAGTCCCCTGTGTCTCTTGTTCCCATCCTTGTGTCCATGTGTGCCCAGTGTTTAATACCCACTTATAAGTGAGAACATGTGGTATTCAGTTTTCTGTTTCTGCGATAATTCACTTAGAATGATGGCCTCCAGCTGCATTCATGTTGTTGCAAATGGCATCATTTCATTTTTCTTTCTTTTTTTTTTTTTTTGAGTGGAATCTCACTCTGTAGCCCAGGTTGGAATGCAGTGGCAGCACACTCGCGGCCACCCCACCATCAACCTGTTGGTCTCTGGCAGTCCTTCTGCCTCAGCCTTCCAAATGGCCAGAACTACAGGCGCTTGCTACCATGCCCAGCTAATTTTTATTTTTTATTTTTATTTTTTACTGTAGAGACAAGATCTCACCATGTTGTCCAGGCTGGTCACAAACCCGTGGGCTCAGGCAATCGTCTCACCTAGGCCTCCCAAAGTGCTGGGATTACAGGCTTGAGCCACCACACCCAGTCCATTTCATTCTTTTTTACGGCTGTGTAGTAATCCATAGCATATATATATATATATATATATATATATATATCACATTTTCTTTATCCGAGTCACCATTGATGGATGGATACCTGGGCTGATGCCATGTTTTGCTATGGTCTATGGTGCTGCAATAAGCACATGAGCACTGGTGTCTTTTTGGTTAAATGATTTATGCTCCTTTGATTATACACACAGTGGAGGGATTGCTAGGTTGAATGGTAAATCTATTTTTAGTTCTTTGAGAAATCTCCAAACTGCTTCCCACAAGGGTTCAACTTGCTTATACTCCCACTAAAATATGCCTGCTTTTCTTTGCAGTCTCACCAACATCTGTTGCTTTTTGACTTCAATAGTAGCCATTCTGACTAGTGTGAGATAGTATCTCATTATAATTTTGATATGTATTTCTCTGATGATTAATGATATTGAGCATTTTTTTCATGTCTGTTGGCTGCTCTTGTCTGTGCTTTCAAATGCATATTTGTATGTAAATAAGTGAGGACCATGAAGATAGTTGAATTTATTGAAGTCGTGACTTGGTAAATTAATATTTCCTTTTTTTTTAGATTTATAATCTTGTGGATATGATAACATCTAAAGTTTTATAAAAATAGATACTAAATAAATGATGACCAGCTACTCACATTAAATTTAAATTGTCATTTGAATATTTTGGAACAAGAAAAATATCATATATAATTTGAGTTAAAAGACAATCAAGAGTAATTTAATTTTCACTTGCATCTTTTTATGATTTTGTGTGTGTGTGTGCATCAGCGTCTCACTCTGTCATAGTCAAGGTTCACTCAATGTAGGAAATTTTCTCCATGGGACAGATACAAAGAAAAGGTATAGAGATATATCACATCAAAGTGTAAAAATAAAAACATATATACATATACTCTGTTTTCTTATTTACATTTTTCTATACCATTTAATTTTTAATTATTATCCTTTAATAGTTCTGAAAACATTATTTAGATTTATCCAGGTTTTTTAACCGAAAAAAATGTGAGAAGAAAGCATATATGTAGTTTTAAAGAAACCCTTGTTCTTTTTTAATAAAATTAACTGAAAAATAAATAAAATAAAAACTCCATTATTAGTGAATACAATTTGGTATTATCAGTGAGAAGACATTCCCAGGAAAATCATTCTGTTGCTTAACTCTTAAATAAAACAAAGATATATTTCAAAAAGCATAACTTTGTTTTTAAAAATTTAAATATTTTGTCTTATAGGTAGAAATCGTTATTGCATAGACAAAAATTATGCTGGTGTTCTTATTATTTGGGATAGAATTTTTGGTAAGTAAAAAGTATGAAAATCAAAAAATTAAATTAGTTCCTTCATTCCCAGAAAGACAAAGATTATATCCTTGATGTTTGTCTTTCAGGGACCTTTGAAGCAGAGAATGAAAAAGTTGTATATGGTCTAACACGTCCCATTAATACATTTGAGCCAATCAAGGTGCAGGTAATGTAATTGCTTTTATTCTTTCTGAATTTATATCATTTTATAAATCTTATAGTGGGAGAAAATTCAGCTGTTCAAAGGTGAAAGCACATTACACTCTGGAAAAAACATTCAACTTTTTAAATTGTAAAATAATTTAGAAATAACTCTGGCACTCAAGCAAAAGCTTGAATCAAATCAGACAAAATGCACTTAAAAACAACTCATTAAAAGAATTTTCAAATATGTCTACTACCTAGAATGAAAAAGAAAATGACTTAGAAAACATACTCTTTTTCAGAATATACCTGAAATATATTCATGTATTCAGAAGGACCAATAGTAACATGTATAATTAAGGCTGATCCCACAGTAAGAAAAATATTTGTTTCAAGGCTGTATGAGTCTGGTAGAAATTCAGTGTGAGGCCTTTGCCCCACTCTCCTTGGCCCTAAGTGTCAGGAGCTATTACAGATTGGTTAAGTCTACATATTACCTCACCTGGTGAGACTTGTTGGACTGGACCGGTTTTCTGTCAGACATGTGGTATTGGTTGTTCACGGGTCTCAATGGTTAGCACTAGAGAAATGAGGAATGTCTGTGAAGCTCTGATCCATCAGCATTAGACCACCACAAATACTCCCGGGGTTAGGGACTCATAAATGAGAAAAAGATAAGAATGCTTAAAAAACTGAAGAGGTCAATCCATGACAGCTCCTTATAGGGAACTGGTTACAAATTCAGTAAGTGATGAAATTACTGGCTTATGTTGAATCTGCTTTTCAAACCTACCTCAAGTTTTCACAGAAAATTGAAATAACAAAATAATTGACATCTTTGAGCTTCTGCTATATGCAGGGCACTGCTGACAGCCCGGCTCAAAATATTTATGTAAGCCTTACTAAAATCTTATGAGGAGTGGCTCTTTTTATTCCCATTTTCCTGGTGGAGGAAACTGAGGTTTCCAGGATTTAAAAATCCATACATGATCACCCAGTTTTTTTGGAGGCAGACTTAACTGAGGTGGATTGCTGGCTAATCCCAAGTCTTACTTAACACAATTTAACCTTTACACCGTGCTACCTTTTAAAGTAAGAAGGTATCGCAAGTTGCCTTCACTTGTTAAGTGAAAGGCATTTTTATCTCTTCATACACCAGAAGAAAGTTAATTATCTCTCTTCTTTCTTTTCAATTACAAGGAATTTTCAATCTTCTTTTTTTTCTTCTCAGTTACATGGGACTCCCTTCTGTCTCTGTCTTTGTTGGACTTTACTAAGATTATAATATCTCTCTCAGGAGGACACAAACGATTATTTCCTTTATAGAATTAAAACCAATTTAGAAATAGTGCATGGAGGGCTACTCTTTCTTCAGTCCACATAAGATTTATCTCAATGTGCAGATTAAAAAAGAAATAGAAAACTTGTTCTCTATCCTCTAGGACAGAGGTTTTCAAACTCAATATGCATGAGAATCACAGGAGGATTCTACTAAATTGCAGATTCTGTTCAGTAGATGTGAGTTTTGGTCCAAGATTCTGTTTCTGACAAGACCCTAGGAGATGCCAGTGTGTTGGTTGATGGAGGATTCTTTCAACAGCAAGGCATTGGGGTGCACACTCTTGCAGAAGAAGGAGTGGTTAATATTTGAGACAGAATCAGAGAGTGAATATTAAGTATAATGAGAGCTGCACAAATAGTTCGATGATTAGCATTTGGATAGACACCATGGGCAGACAATAACAGGTATTTATGAGCTACTGCTGAATCGGTTAGGTTCAATTCTCTAGGTTTTTACTTTCACATAAACATTTCTTTTGGTAATTGTCAAAAGTGGGTCCAAAGTTAAGTCTTCTACATGCCCATATGTTGTCAGAAATGTTATCAGCAAGTTGTAATAATTTGAAATATTTGTTGTTACAAAAATGTATAGTTAATTTCACTTGTGTTTCTTTATATACAGCTAAATTTCTCACTTATTCCATAGAAACATCAAAGCTAATTTAGGACTGCTTCCAGTAGACAGAAGGGTTTTGTGTGTTTATTTTCCTTGTTATTAGGCATAAATCATGCACATTGCTTTCCTTTAAGGGCCCAGAGTTTCAGGGCTTTGGAGAGCAAATAAGTGAGAAAATACATTTTATTTTAAAGCATTACCATGTATTTCTCATGGTTTATGTCCAAAATGATAGAAAAAAAATTGCAGTCAGTTTTCAAAATAGAAAAAACAGATAAATATATTAGTATGTGTTGTAACTCCTATACATAGTAATTTTCTATATTATTATTATTATTATTGTAAAACTCCAGGCTAAATTTCCACCTAACATTTACCTTTTCCTCAAAATCTATTCTATTAATTGCTACATGTTTTCTTAATTGCTTCAGATTCCTTGTATTATTTTAAGAAAATTTTAATTCAATTTTTTATAATCCTAACAGTTTAAATTCTTCAAAAGACAGTGAAATTCCAGCAAAACCATGTAGAGTTTAGACGTCTTTCTCCATTAATTTATTTCTCCATTTGTAATAGAACTCGTTTCTATGAGTTTCTAGAACTGCTGCTCTAGACTAGGAGTATTTTTAATCCTATATTGCATTTATGCACATATATGGCATTTATAGCTAATTCAGCAAATGAATGCTAACATTTATTAAGCACTTATCATATGTGGGCATACTTTCAACTTCTATACATGTCAAATGTATGTTATTTAAAGAATGTGGATTCCTGCTATGAGATTCAAGGCACACTTTTGCCTCAATCTGCAAACTTTTCTGTTTCTAATTACAGGATATGGACTATTTAATCCTTGGAAATCTACTATCAGAAACAACTTTGATCTTTAAATTAATATGTGTCTGTCTATGACAATACAGTAAATAGAGGTTTATGTTTTAAATACTTAGATATGCAATCTTTATATGTTTCCATGTTCAACCTTTATATCCCCTTAGCAAGACTTTAGAAAAGGACATTTGTTGAATGGACAGGCTGCTATTTAATTCCATGGGAAGTGAAACCTCCGAGCTCATTTTTTTCTGATTTTTCTAAATAACTGCCTTACTTTTACATTTCAATATTATAATTTGGTTGAACTTCAGAAATATTGATAAGAACACACTTAAAGGTATACAGAATGCATAGAAAGGATGACAACATGGATGTGATCACATATTAATCTCCTTTAATCTAAGCATACATAACATAATCAAGAAAAATATGGACCAGGTGCAGTGGGTCATGCCTGTAATCTCAGAACTTTTGGAGGCAGGAGTGCAAGGATCACTTGAGCCCAAGTGTTTGAGAGCAGCCTAGGTAACATAGCAAGACCTAGCCTCTACAAAAAAATTTAAAAATTAACTGGATGTGAGTGTGACATGTGCTGTAGTCCCAGCTACTCAGGAGACTGAGGCAGAAGGATCACCTCAGCTCAGGAGGTTGAGATTGCACTGACTCATGATTGTGCCACTGTACTCTATCCTGGGCAAACAGTGATACCCCAACCCCCAAAATAATCATAATAAAGAAGAAAAAATATGTAAATTCCATTGAAAAATAAAATAAATACATGTATTTTATATTTAATATTTTTTGTGATATTTGTCTTCTTTTAAATAAGCCTTACTTTTATTCTCTCTAGTTCCACCATTTATTTTACATTTGGACTACATTCTGGGCCACACCTGGACTCTTCAATAAGTTTTCTGTCATATTTAAAGGACCAGGATGGGGTCCAGGTAAACCAAGACTTGGACTGAGTGAAGAAATCCCAGAGGTAAACAACAGAGTTCATGGAACTGAAGACAGTTAAGATAGTCTTAAATTGTCAGGTCTACAGTTTACCTGTATATATACTGTTTTCATGCACATCAGATGCAACCCTATGGTTCATAACTTAATAGTTGCCCCCACCAGTAAGAAAGGTGTCTTCTCCCAGGTGAAGACTTTTACCAGGGAGCACAGTTTGTGGAGCAGAGTAACAAAGATTAGTTTTCACATCCACGTCCACTTAAATCTCTATAGGGCATAACTTCACAAATACAAATACATGGGGCTCAGACACAGAGTCTTTGAACATCAGAGATGGAGGGAGCCTTAGGAAGGAGTCATTATAACCTCAGTTTTACTCACGAAACACTGAAAACAAAAGGTATAAAGTCATATCAGCAAAATGTGATTTTGGGATCAGATGATAACTGTATTCATTTTATAGTAGAATAGAAGCATTAAGTACAGCAATCACATTAAAAACCAAAAATAGACCGGGCATGGTGGCTCAAGCCTGTGATTCCAGCACTTTGGTAGGCCAACGTGAGGGGATTACCTGAGCCCATGGGTTTGAGACCAGCCTGGGCAAATTGGTGAGACCTCGTCACTATAATAAATAAAAAAATTAGCCCGTCATGGTAGCATGTTCCTGTAGTTCCAGCTACTTGGAAGGCTGTGGCAGAGGGATTGCCTGAGCCCAGCAGATCAACGCTGGGGTAGCTATGAGCATGCCACTGCACTCCAGTCTGGGGGATGGAGTGAGACTCCAACTCCAAAACAAACAAACAAACAAATAAATATAAAAAAATAAGAAATGTAAATATTTTAAAATATTGAACCTCGTCAAAAAAAATTATGTTTCAATTTAGAATTTCTCTTCTAGGGAAGAAAAAGGAATTTTAAAAATCACTAAAGATCTAATTTCTTATGAAAGAAATGCCATGAATAGCAATATAGAAACAATAGTAAAAACAAGCTACTGTTGCTTTCAAAGATAATACTATGAACATAAAAGTTAGGTTGTGATATTTCAAGGAAATTAAATCACATGCTTTATTTGAATATTGCCATTTTATATAAAACCTAATCTAAATAATGATATTTTCTCATCTAGTTACCAAAGCTGTTGTTCATAAATTTCCCAGTTTTATATTCACAATTAGTTGTGTAACAGTCAACTTGATATAGTTGAAAATAATTTGCATATTTCAGCTTCAAAAAGTCTCATTAGCTGTGCTTTATTTATTATTATTCTTTTCCATAGATAATTCAAAGTGAATACAGTTGTAGGGGTGCTGGAATCTGCATTATACAAACTGAAATGTGACCATGCCTGTAATCCCAGCACTTGGGAGGCTGAGGTTAGAGGATCCCTTGAGTCCAGGAGTTAGAGACCAGCCTATGCAATATAGCAAGACCTCATCTCTACAAAAAACAAACAAGCAAACATAGGCATGGTGGTTGTGCACCTGTAGTCCCAACTACTTAGGAGGCTGAGTTGGATCACCTGAGGCCAGGAAATTGAGGTGATCATGCCACTGTACTCTAGCCTGGGTGACAAGAGTGAGAGCTCAGCTCAAACAAAACAAGATAAAACAAAACAAAACAAAAATAAATGAAAATAAGTGTAACATTTCTGGGAAAGTCAGTAGGGAAAGTTTAGTTGAGGGGAAAAAAATATTTCCCTTTGAGGCATGATTACCTCGCTACCAAATCATCTTCTGTTTTTAATTCTACTTGCTGTCATGTATGATCATGGACATATTTTCGGATGTGGAAAATCTAACATATTCATTTTAACTATCTTTATCATTAGCATATACTGGTGAATCAATTCTTACTTTGCTTTTTAATGCAGACTAAACCATAACTAAATGCCTCTGATATGAGAACAAAGTTCCCAGATTATAATCATGTTTTTTTTTTTAATTAATCAATGTTTTTTATTATGGTGTTGTGGGGTACAGTTAAGTGTTAGGTATACAAGTACGTTTCATTCAGGCACCCTGTTGATAAGAGGTGTTTCCCCGTCCCCAGACAGATATTTGCTGCCATTGATCCCGTCTCCCTCCCCCCTTCATAGTTTCCCACCTCTGTCAGTCATTTTCTTATAGTATTACATTGGATGTTGAAGGTCCATTATATGAGTGAGAACATGTGATACTTGGATCTTTGTTTTTGTGAGAGGTCACTCAGCATTATAGACTCTAGTTCCATCCAGGTTGCTGCAAAATTCATGATTTTGTTCCCTTTTATGGCTGTGTAGTATTCCATTGTGTATATGTACCACATTTTTTAATCCAGTCCTCTTTTGATGGGCAACATGGTTGCTTCCAGGTTCTTGCTATTGTGAACAATTCTGCAATAAACATACGTGTGCAGGTATCTTTTTTATAGATTGATTTGAGTTCTTCCAGATATATTCCTAGTAGGGGGATTGTGGGGTCATATGGGAGGTTGATATTTAGAGCTTTTAGGAATCGCCACACTGCTTTCCACAGAGGTTGCATGTTTCTATCCCCCCAAAATAATGTTAGTCTTCTTAAAAAAAAACAAAAACCCAGCAAATTATTTTTACATATCTCTTTACTTAGTGTGAATTGCAATAAAAAGGATAGCCTGAAGCAACATAAAGAAAGCCTTCTTTCTTGTCTACTTAGGTCACCGGGAAAGAAGTTCCCTTCTCATCCTCTGCCTCTCAACTATTAAAGATATATACAGTGTTACAGTTTGCTCTGATGTTAGCATTTTATGAAGAGACCTTTGCGAATACAACTGTAAGTGTTGTCCATTTTAAACAGGGTGTGAGAATATTGTCATTCACTTTGAAAATGAAAATAAGTTCCTCACACTGTGGCTGTGCTCTGTTCTTCTCTGTAATTGCTTTAATTTTGGCAACATCACATATTTAAGCAGGTAAGATAAGGCTAGACACTGTAACTCATGCCTATAATCCTAGCACTTTGGGAGGCCCAGACAAGAGGATTGCTTGAGCCCAGGAGTTCAAGGTCAATCTTGACAACATAGCGAGAACTCGTCTCTACAAAAAAAATTAAAAGATATTAGCCAGGCGTGGTGGTGCACCCCTGTATAAGTAGTCCCAGCCACTCTTGGGAGACTGAGGTGAAAGAAACACCTGAACCCAAGGAGGTCAAGACTGTGGTGAGCCATGATTGTGCCACTGTACTCCAGTCTGGGTGAGAGAGTGAGACTCTGACTAAAACAGAAACAAAAACAAAACAAAACAAAAAAATGCCTTAAAAAGGTAAGATAATTCTTGTAGACTTCTAAATGTAAATGTATTAATCATATCCAAAATGAGGCTGTATAGCATGTCCATCAAGGCGTATACTATCAGTCTAAGAGATAAATAAAAAATTATTTGCTGTAAGTAACTTTCACAACAATCTCAAAAGAAATACTTCAGAATTCAGAAATAAATGTCTTTGGGAAAACATGCTTGCCATCAGTTGCAGCACATATACCTTCGTTTAGTGAATATACAGCTAGAATGACTTTGGGGAACTTTCAGTGTAGTTTACTTTATTTAGTTCTTCCTAAAACATTCAGAATATTCTATTTGGCACAAACATAAGAGACTAGACCAGGGTTCAGTTCAGGCATCAACAGCTCAGGAATCATTTTTTTGGCCACAGAAGAATACCCGTACAACAAATATTTTGAAGAGAACATAATTGACATTAGGTACGTATAAAATGCACTGTAAGCTTCAAAAAGGATAAAAACAGAGACATTTTATTTTATTTTACTCTACATCATATACAATGCTTTAATTGAACATAAATTCAGAGTTCTTGAATTTAAAATATTTTAAAATCTGATATAAAAATTCCATAATCCAAAGGTGATTATAACAATTTCTTTGGCTATATTCGGTTCTGTTAAACATTAATGTATTAAGTATGATAATGGATAGAAGAAATAACTTTGCACTTGTGAGATAAGTGACTTCCAGGTACATGCATAAACTAGAGGTACTCCATTAACAAAAATGGCCTTTCGTTAACAAGTCTTTCTTCTCTTGGTGCCCCAGAGTTTAGAATTCTGAGTGGTTTCTTGTTCAGTTGTGTATCAGATTATTCTGCGGCCTGGCTTTGAATAGAACTTTAGGTTATTCTGCCTTAATTTTTGTTTGGTTTTGTATATTTACATATAGTAATAATATTTGTTTGGCTTTGTAGATTTACATATAGTCTTCTTGAAAGGGTTTTCAATAGTTCAAAAAGATACATGAAGAACAGTAAGGCAAATAAATGGAAAGTAGGTGAAATAGAAAATAGATTACAGGCAAGTAAAAAATTACTGCTTTTCTACCTTGTTACTAAGAAAGCATATGTCTCTCATACCTCAATGAATCAGGAATACTGAAGGTTGCACAGTAACTCTTGTATAAGTAATGGTTATGTTGAAAAGAAATAAAGGAAGTTTCGATTTTCAGCAAAATGGTGATCTAGATACCCCTGTTTTTAAGAGGTATACAGGACACTGAAATTGCTCAATAAAAAATATACAAAAAAAATGCACAAAAGAGCTGACAAACATAGATGGACACCTAAGGGGCTAAAAATATCCAGAAAATGTGAATTCAGTGAGGAAATTTAATGTATATTCTGAGGGCTGTAGTAGTTGTCATTATTTTTTTTATTTTTTTTTTTTAGTTAGAGTCTCACTCCATTGCCCAGGCTGGAGTGCAGTGGCACATTCACAGCTGCCCCAGCATCAACTTGCTGTACTCCAGTGATCCTTCCGCCTCAGTCTTACAAGTAGCTGGAACTACAGGCGTGTGCTACCGTGCCTGGCTAATTTTTTATTTATTTTAGAGATGAGGTCTTGCCAAGTTGCCCGGGCTGGTATCTAACCTGCGGGCTCAGGTAATCCACTCGCCTCGGTCTCCCAAAGTACTGGGATTACATGCTGAGTCACTGAGCCCGGCCGTTAGCTATCATTTTTTAAATAATTAATGTAAATATTTTGTTTTAGAAAACAAATTGTAATACTTGGCATGAGGAACTCAATGACTAAAATAGCAGTTTAAAGACAGTTAATGAGAAAATAAGTGCATTAAAAGATGGACTAAAATTATCCTTCACACAGTGGTATGATAATAAATAAATAAATTTTAAAATAAGGCAGAAAAGTTATTTTCAGATATGAATATATGAAGCATATAAAGTCTAAAAAGAAAAATGCAAGAATTCAGAAAAAATGTAAATGAATATAAATAGGATCTGTATTCAGTGAATCCAGGTAAGAATAAATTACCCTTTTCAAAGAACAATGGGTATTATTGATAGGCATTGATTCATCTATTAAAAAACTACACAAGTAATAAAAAAATAATAAATATCGTGTGCTGAAAAAATAGATCTACTTTAGGATTATCATTAATAATTTCAATTAATAAATCCTATGGCATTGTTTTAAATAATTAGGCACCAGTATAATAACCTTAGTATAATTCTACTGTAACAGTTCATAGGATTCATATACTGAGTTATAAGAAAGAAGTCTACTTAGCAGGACTTTTTTTTAAATTGACTATCCACTTTATTTTAGTAATACCAAATATATTACACACACAACAAAGATAAGAAATTAACAAACTTTTCCCAAATGACCCAGCCAGTAGGAGGGTAGCAAGGATGAGTAAGACTGTTCTGGCTCCCAAAGTGGCCAAAAAATTAAATTAATCTCGAGCAGGACTTTTAAGCAGGACTGTTAGGCAGCACTTTTTTATTGCAAGTGACAGAAATTTAACCCAGAGTGAATTCTTAACTAACGTAAGTGAAAAGTTGGGGACTGTTACTTCTTCAGACAATCCTGTACCCAAGAGGTCAAATAATATCTCTGGTATCTTCTTTTTTGCAGCCATGCTTTTCTCAGTGCAAATTCTATTATAGACTGTCGCCCTTCATGGTGGCAAGATGGCTACCAGCAGCTCTAGCTTTAATACTGACACACAAAGAAACTCAGAAGTGAAAATACCAAAACTGAGCCTGATGCTATGACTTGTCAGTGAACCAATTCAGGTGGCCAGGTCTGGATCAGGTGTCTGGTCTATAAATTCAAGTGCACAGTCAACTGCACAGGAGCCACAGTGTTTGAGAAGAAGAATAGGATAGCTTGAAAGAACACTTGAGGTGGTAATATATAGAAGAGAAATAGATTTGTGTAGGCAAAGATATCAAACTTTAGTTCTGTGCCAACTATTTTCACTAATGAATATGTGATTTGAACTTGTTTTCAAAAAATACTCTTTAATCACATGTAAAATGCATAGTGGCTTATAAACCTGCCTGCAGAATATCATCCTACTTAAGGTATCTATAGTAGGAGAGCCCGTTAGATGTCTTCTGCTCTAAGAAACAGAATATCCAATTAAACATGGCTTGAATAGAACTAGAAATTCAGAGACAAGTGTTTCCAAGGATTAATTAGTTCAGCAGCTCAAACATATAGAACTTCTAAAAAGACTTCTTTGTAATTCTTTTGGATTTTGTCATCATAAGACAATTGCAGGAACTCCAGTCATCGTGTCCTCAGAGACTGTATAAAGGCAGCAAGTTAAACTTTCCTAGAGCACTTGTTCATTTTATTTCATTCCATTTAAGAATGAGGGGAAAAAAATTTCTTCCCTTCCCAGCTAGCTTCCTTTCATGTCTCATTATCCAGGACATATCCACACTGAACCAATAACTAATACCAACTCATGAATTAACCATGAGTGAATTATACCAAGTATAATACATGCCCTCAGGATAGAGGGCTCACTTTCCCCTTGAGCACATTCTTGACTTATACCTGGACAAAATCAGCAGACTATTAGTACAGAAGAAATGGGAAAGATTTTCTGCTAAATAAAATAGGTTTACAGAAAGTTATTCTAGAGATTCTTGACTAATGCATTGAAAAAACATTTTAATTTTAACGTGATTTAAAGATCTTAATGATTGGTGTTGTCCATATGTACTTCTGTTTTTTGTGTTCAAAGTTAGTAATCAAATATTCTTTCACATAGTGACCCCAATTTTAAACACAGATATGTTTGCATGTGTTCTCTGTCTATATACAATTTAAAAAATAAAGAAAAAGCTACAGGGAAGCATATAATAGACCTTCCTAACTGTAACAGAAAATGATTTTTATTCTGGTTTCCACTTAACGAATTGAAAATAAGAATTAGGATACAATGTGACAGGAAATATCTTGAGAATATAATGGTTGGATATATACTTTTACTGTTTGCTCTTTCTTACATGAGCTACAACCCGTGATGAAACAAAATCCACATTGTGCCAGATTTGTTTGCCTTTAACCCTTCAAAATGACAACGATTGTACCCAATAATTTCTCTTGGGAGCAAGGCTTTTCATAACAGCAGCCTGAACAACCTCACTTTCAGTGTACATATTGGCATCAACTACCAAAATGGCTAGACCTAATAGTTGTGTAACCTAAGGCTTCATAATCATCTCTTCAAATACTGCATAACTAACCTCTCACTGATTACTTTGTTTAATACATTAACTTAATATGACCACCCCAAATATGACTAAAATGTCACTTAGTCATACATGCATTGATAGAGTTTAGGTAGTTGAATGAGGCCAAAAGAAAAGTAAGTCATATGCAATTAAGTATTCAGCTCTTGATATACTGACCAGTGTTGTACTACATAAATTCGTCAATTGTACTAATTCATAGAAACACAAATGGAAATCTGACCATTTTTATGCTATATGGACTGCCATGTTGA